CCCCACTTACCTGGTCTCTGTTCCGTGCCTTCCTTTAAATGAGTGTCTCCAACGTTTTCCTGGAGGGCGGGAGAAGGCAGTCATTACTGGTTGATTGGAAGGAAGTGCCCCAGGGGCCTGCGTGGCCTCGCCAACATCATGGATGAAGGATAGATGGTTTATTGGACTGCCAGGTGGCCGGAAGCTCAGGGGTGCAGCGGACGCCCAGGGGACAGTCCGGTGTCAGAGCGCTGCAATTCGTCTTGGCTCTGTCTGTGCTCACCTGCACAGATGGTTGGGCCATTTGTTACACTCGGAAGTGTTTCTGAGTTGGTTTTGTGTCTATCACGCATCTGTGCTGACTGTTCAGTCGAAGGGTGCCCTGTCCTCTGCTCTGGCCTTTCCCTCTAAACCTGGCTCCTTTCAAGGTCCGGCTTCGGACCACCTTCACATGAAGGTAGCCCTCCCTGCCGCTCCATCCCCCACCTCTTAGCTTTCTCTAATGCCCCAAACTCCCATGAATTCATTCCAGTCTATTGTGTTTACCTCAGCCTATGTGCAGGTGCTGTCTCTACCTCCCATAGGATGCCCCCTGCTTGAGGGTGGGACCTCTGGTCTTTGTACTCCAGAGCCTTGTCCAAGGCTTAGCACATAGTAGGTGATTGTTGACTGATTTCTCGATCGACAAGCTAAAACACTGGGCCAAACCTAACCAAATGCAGTTGAACAGAGCCATATAAAATCCTATACTTGGGTTCAAAAACTCTGTTTCCCCAGGACCAGCCACAGCAAGGGAGGCCTGGCCAGACCCCAGGCTGTCTAAAGGTCTTTTCTGGGAGCATTTCCATAGGGCTGTGGAGCTCGCATGTGGGGAAAGTTCCCCAGGGAAATGGGAGATAGACCCCTAACAATGGAGTGGAGGATGGGGGTGGGGGCCAAGTGCATAACCTTGTCCAGGGTCAGTCTTGGTCAGTGAAGCAGGAGGGCCGGGCCATCTCCTGAGGGCTCAGCTCCAGGGCCCCAGGAGAGGCTGCTGGCTGTCGCTGCTATGGCCCTATCAGGGCCAGGACGCTCTCAGGACTCCTCATGGGGGCCCTGCCGCAGTCGCTCTTCCGGGGGTACTACCCCACCCCTGGCTCTGCCCTACTCAGCCACAGGCTGGTGAGAGAACCCCCTTCCCTTGGTATGCTGTTCAGCAGGCAAGGTGCTCCGGTACCTGGGAGCTGCCGAGCCCTCAGCGAGAGGATCCAGGAGCATGGGGTCCAGCTTGGAGCAGGAGGGTGCCTTCCCTGGGCCGGAGCCCCAAGGTGCTCTCCTCGTACAGGGCACCTAGCGGGAGAGCCCTTTCTGTTTGCTGTGGTCCCACGCTGGCCCCTTGAATCCCAGAAGAGTCAGGGCAAACACAGCGTGAGGGTCACCTTGCCTAACTAGGCTGGAACCTTCTGGCCTTGGTACCATAAGAGAGAAGGTGAGGAGGCTGGTCTAGGCAGGTGATGGGCGGGGCTGGACTCTATCTGAAGTTAACAAATCAGTCCTTGGCTGTTCTTCAGTTATTTTTGACCCATACAAGAGAGTTTCCATCGAGTATCTGGAGGTGACTAGCCCCCTGAATGAGGTCTTCGTTAGCCTTGGAGGGCAGGATCAGAGCAGGGGGAGGAGCTGCTTTGGGCTTGAGAACAGGAAAACCTTCCCAGCCACCTGAGCTATCCTGGAGCTGAGAGCTCTGGCCCTTGGGGGGAGCGCTATCGCCCCTAGGAAGAGGCTGGACCACTCCTTGTCAGGGCATCCCGGGGAAGACATGTTGCAGCGTGGGGTGGCCCAGATGTCCCTGAGGCCTCAGAGGAGCTGGAATCTATCTGGTCGGGCTCTCTGGCAGCCCTGAAATTCTGTGACCAAGGACCGTAGGAACTGAGCACGTTTGCCAGGATGGCAAAGTGTTCCTCTGTCTTAAGGTGGATGCCTGGAGACAGAATTTGGAAAAGGGGGAGCTGAAAGGGCAGCCAGGTGTGTCTGCAGGTGGAGGCCAAGGCCTGGCCAGCTCTTTGGCTTGAAGACATCTTGATGCTGGGAAGCCAGAGCATCCCGGCCCCCCAGGAGCCCTGTTGCTCTGGGAACTGGCCAGCCCAAGCCATAGAAGCCTGCTCTGGCCTCTGGGCAGCATCCCAGGCTGGGGGGACCAGACCTGGGGTGCTTCCTGGGCTGGGCCTTGCCCACATCTTGGCATCTCTGACCCAGAGAAGCTTCAGCGCTCTAGTTGCACACCCCACCCCACTTCATGGCAAAGCTGGTGCTGCCACAGGAAAGAATCCTGCTAGGAACAAGCCTGTTTTATAGATTGTCCAGCTTTTAAATGTTAACAGAAACCTCCAAGAGTGAGGCAGATAAGGAGTCATGGGGGGAGGGAGGGCTCTGTCACTTACTCTTTACTGACCTTGGATGAGTCAGCTGCTCCCCCCCATCCTCGGTTTCCTCATCTGTAAAATGACTCAATGGTCTTTAAGGTCTTATTCCATAATGATGTTTGCCATGGGTTCAGAATCACAAATTACTCTCCTTTCCAGGAATGAGAACTAACTTCAATTTGTGTCCACATGGGCGCTGATACTGGTCCAAGGATGTGCTTGTAAATCCTTCAGGAGACTCTAGGACAGTGACCTGTGTCAGTCGGCTGACAAAGTCTGCCCATCCGGAAGAGACCTGGCTGGTCTCCTGGACCAGCTGAACGCTGACTGTGCCCGCTTGACCATGGACAAGTCACTTCATTTGGCCCTGTTTCCCACATCTGTGAAATGAGGAGGTTGGACTCTGTGACCTCCAAGACCTTCCCAGCTCTGGTCTTCTGTGACCTGGGGTTCAAAACCCAAATCTATTACTCTGCCCCCCTCCCCTGTGACTAGGTGAGGTTTTATCTGTGACTTGAAGGAAGCTAGAGAGTTCAGTAGTCGGAGCGGAGAAGGGAGAGCATTCCAGGCCTGGGGGATGGCCAGAGAGAATGCCCAGAGCCCAGAGGTGGAGGGGCTTGTTCATAGAACAGCCAGGGTTCACTGGATTGATGGTGATAGGAAGCCACTGGAGTTTATCGAGTAGGGGGTGACATGGTCGGACCTGCGCTTTAGGAAAATCACTTTGATGGCTGAATGGAGGATGGCCTAGAGTGGAGAGACTTGGGGCAGGCAGACCCCCCCAGTGGCTATTGCCATAGTCCAGGAATGGGGTGATAAAGGTCTGTACGAGGCAGGTAGCAGTGTCAGAGGAGAGAAGAAGGCCTGTAGGAGAGATATTGCAGAGGCGACATTGACAAGATGTTGAGAGATGTTGCAGAGGTGTAATTGAGGAGAGATGTTGCAGAGATGAAATCTTTAAAAAGAGATGTTGCAGAGGTGAAATCTGTAAAGAGAGGTGTTGCAGAGGTGA